CTTTTAACTTGCTCGTTTGAGGCACGTGTCTCAACTAAATATTACATCTTTTGGCCGGAAGTTAGCAACACACGATCACCCTTTAACATTACATAAGCGACATCTGTCCGTATTAAAATATAAAACACCTAGAGACATCTACAACCGAACAGCGGGTTTCAATGCAACTACCAAATATATAAAATAATATATGAATTTTGCCCACATATGTGATCACATATATGATTATATATGTCCGTATGAAAAAAATGATGAATTAAATATCGTCATTTATTTCAATTGTATTTGTATATAATTTATAAACAACGGTATTTTTTCGTTGTGGATATATATAATTATACATGATCATGTAAGGGTAAATTTCATATATAATCTCTTTGTTCCCGAGTAATGGCTTTGAGAATCGAGCTAATGAAACTGCATATTTTTGAGAACTTTCGTATTGAGGAATATTTATATAAAAAAAAAGTTTTGTTTTGTACGATGTAGATAACGAAATATAATATTTATTTGATATTATTTAATTATAGTATTTATGTAATATTATTTAATTTCCTGGGAAAAAAGGATTATACGTGAAATTTGCTCATATTTGACTATATATGATTATGTATATCCACAACAAAAAAATACTTTTGTTTACAAATTATATGCAATTACAATGAATTAAATGCTTCTGGCTACGTGTGCTTCTGACAGCACATGATATCGACATTTAATTAAATAATATAACATCATTTTTTTGCATGGATATGNTAACAAGATTAACATACGCTTTATTTTTTGTACAATATTATTTAAATAAGTGAAGAATTAATATAAAATGTATATATAACTTTAATTTGGTAAATGTCAATCTGAATTTTAAAATTATATTTTAGTATAATAATATTCAAAATGATAATAAAGTTTTTATTGAATAAAATAAATAAATCTCAAGGAATCTTATTGTTATTTGAAATATTAGTCTATAGTGCTATTAAAAAGTTACAACTTATATATTTATGATTTTTTACTGTCCTATATTTAAAATGAAAAATCTTTTAATATTTTGTTTTATGTAATATATCACTGAAAAATATCTTTTTTTTTCTTTAATATGTTTATTACAATCTTAAACAATAGTTTAAAAAAGTAATATTTTGGTCAAGCGTTAATTTGATGTGTGTTGAGTCTCAGATCATTATCTAAGCTCAAGATAAATTAATTAAGTAATAATAATAGATCGAATTACTTGTACATACAAATATATAGATGAATATAATATAAAATATACTATTAGATTTAATTCTAATTTTAGCTTCATTTCATTTATTGTTATGTGAGTAGATCTAGTGGTTTTTTGCGCTTGAATCGTCTTAGATTCCCCTCAATGTCCAGGAATTGAACAGCTTCCGCATTAATATGTTCGTGCAGCCTTTTTTTATGCATATTCCTTGATTATTTCATTTATACTCCTCGGGTTCAATTCCTTGTGAAAGTCGTCTTTCCTCTGGTATTTTACATTGGTAATTGCGCGTATGATTATATTTTGTATATGTTATACAATCATACGGTTTGTACCCAATGTATATCCAATGTACATCCCGAGAGTTGGATACTGTATGTTCATATTGGTCTTATAATCATTACATATAATCTTTTGTAATATAAGTCCAAGACTTTCTTCCAACTAACCAATGCATTTGTCGAAATTTAAGTCATATTTATTCCGCTTTTTTTCTTACGTGATGTTTCCACGTTAAGCCCTGAAAAATATCTGAAATGTATTTACATTCTGATGGTATATGTATTTAATTATTCAACTTAAATTTATATCTGTATCTAGTTTAATTTTCATCTCTATATCTATATCTAGTTATTTTGAAACATGTATCTGTTACAACACTAATAAATACTTTTTTTTAATGAGAAAATAGATTTACCATGATATTAATAATATTAGTTTCATGATAATAAAGTTATTTTACAGTTTCAGGTACAGTTTTAAGAAATAATTTTGAAGTTTTACTGCTGGTAACTGCTAGATATTTCTTATCTATCTAAGATGCACAATATAGAAGTTACAAAGTAAAATTTCAATTTTTTTTCTTTTTTTTTAAGTATATAAATAAATTCGGTGCTTTTACTTTTAACGTCTTGTATCTTTGGTTCAAATTTCAATTTTTTCTCGCTTTATGATAATTTGAAAGTATCAATTTTAAGCTTTAAGAAGCATTATAACAGTTGTTGGTTTTGCCGATATAACCTCAAAAAGCAATAGTTATCAATTGAATAAAAATGCTGCTCAGGCTATCAAAATGATTTATTCCGCTTTGGATGAAGGTGGGAAATTCTTTCTCATGCAGCTTATTGCTCCTCAAACTATTATGCCCCTTTATATCATCATCTATTCCAGTTATTTCAGCATTACCTGATTAGTTTCAACTTCAAATTTTTCGAAAAGGTCGAACAAAGCATTAATGACTTTATCGACTCAAAACTGCCATTTTTTTCGACAGGGAATTAGCCAGTTACCTGAAAAATGGCAGAAGTATGTCGCAAATAATGGAGATTTCCAGGATTAACATGTAATTCGTCTTTGTAAATAAATATGAAATTCATGTAAAAAGACATCGAACTTATTCGCATGTCTAATAATAAGCGTTAATAAGCGTTTGAGTTGCAAGAAATACTGTTGAAGCCTCGGATGGCAAAGGCGTCCCGCCTGGCAAATGGGGGGAAATCCAGGTTCTATTTCTAGCTGAGGCAGTATTTTTTGCAACTTATTAGAAAAAGTTAAGAAACGCAATAATAGTAAATTATTAATGGAGTTTTGGAATAATTTAAAAATTAATAATTGAGATATGGGTCCAGTTTGATGTAGAAGACTCTTGTTTTATGTTTTATTAAATTTGGCAAATTTGTTAGTGTGTGTAATAATACTGTCAAATACATTATCTTCCCATATAAAATTATTCGCATCAACAACTATATTTGGTTTTTATAGGATAATATATTTTTATATTTATTGATTAATATTTGAATCATATTAGGACATCCATGCGTTGGCTCTTATAGATCTTATAGATCATAATAAGTTTTTCTTTGGATAAAATATTCTCATTTAGATGATTTGTCTTGGATGCCCTATCTTGTATGCTTTCTTTTCTTTGTCCTTTTTTCTTTTTTTTACCTACATTCTTATTTCTTTTTTTGATCCATTCTTCCTCGTTCATTTTTTCCCCACTGTGTCGCTCTCTATTTCTTGTTCTAATTCTTATTTATTTATCGCTTAATCTTTCTTTACACGTTTCTTACATTTTCTTCCCCTCCTCTTTTCTTCTCTTATACTTTTTAATTTTTTCATTTATTTTCTCTTTTGTTACATTCCACTTTTTTCCACATACATATATTATTTTTCCACTTATATTTTTTACATTTATTCCACTTATATTTTTTACATTTATTGGGTGAGTGCAAAAGTTCGTGCGGAGTTTGTGAGTAAAAGTCAGACAGTGATTAGGCAAACAAAGTTCTTTATTGAATCAATGATATATTCTCCATCGTTGTCTATAATCTTTTTCCAACGTTCTGGCAGCATACGGATGCCCCGATCATAAAAATTGCGCGGTTTAGATTCGAAGAACGAAGACACGACGTTTTTTAAGGCATCCAAAGAGTCAATTTTTTTCCATTTAAATGCTTTTGCAATGACCGGAACAAGTGATAATCAGAAGGTGCGATATCAGGAGAATACGGTGGATGAGTTAGGACATCCCATTGCAGGCTGTTCAGTTTGCGCAACGTCTGTCTCGAAACGTGTGGTCTTGCGTTGTCGTGGTGAAAGACTACGCCCTTGCGATTTGACAAAATCGGACGTTTCTGTTTGATTTCTCGATTCAGATTGGTTAATTGGCGACAGTACTTGTCCGAATCAATCGTTTGACCAGCGGGGAGAAACTCAAAATAAATTATGCCCTTGCAATCCCACCAAACACAGAGCATCACCTTCATCGGGTGTAAACCGGCCTTTGCCATTGCTTCACCATGCTCACCTGCCTGTTTCCATGTGCGTTTGCGCTGAACATTGTTGTACAGGACCCATTTCTCATCGCCCGTCACTAATCGATCCAAAAACGGCTCGTTTTTGAGCCGCCCGAGTAAAAAAACGGCAGCAGAAACTCGCTGGATTTTGTTCCTCTCCGTCATCAAATGGGGCACCCATACATCGAGCTTCAAATCGAAACCGATTTTTTTTAAACGCCGAAAAGCGGTTGATCGGTCAACGTTAAGTGCTGTAGCAACTTCCTCTGTTGAAATTCGCGGAGTATTCTGAACTAAAGTTCGCACAACATCGTCATCAATGTCTGAAGGTCGACCTGAGCGTGGCTCGTCTTCAAGGTTAAACTGTCTGCGGCGAAATTTCGCAAACCATTTTTCCACAGTTCGTTTAGCTGGTGCTTGATCTTGATAAACCTCTTGAATGTTTTTTACGGCTGCTACAACGTTTATTCCTTTCCGAAACTCGTAAAGCATAACATGCCGTAAATGCACCTTTTCGATACTCATTTTGAAAGTAATCTTTCTCGAAGCAGTTCGTATCTACACAAATTCTTTTGTTTGAAATAAACGCTGCACACGTCACCTTTCCAACGATATGTCTTACGGAGATGGCGGTATTAATGACAAGACTTTACGCCGCTTCTAACGCCATCTATTGCACCTCCGCACGAACTTTTGCACTCACCCAATATTATACAATTAAATATTTTTCTTATTTATTTTTATGATATTTACACTAAATATTCTACATTTCTTCTCTACTTTATTATAAATGATAATCTCCAACTTCACTATTATTTTTAAGTAGATCAATACGTAATTTGTATATTAATATATTTGGATAATTGGGCATTTTAATATAGAACATTGCTTTTCCTTTCATTAAAATTACTTATTACGTTACATCGAAGTTACAGAGTATATAAGAAATTAAAAAAATGTGTGTTATGTTGCAGAAATCGAAGTAAAAAAAGTAGAGATGGGGATAGAAAAGAAAGAAGAAGACGCAGTAGATCCCACTCTCACACTCGAAGTACATCATCTGCTGCAAGAGATCGATTGAATGAAACTCAAAGGTACGAAACGAATTTTCTTGCCTTTTATATATCATTTATTTTTTTAATAGAATTTTATACTCTTTTTAATAAAACAAAAAAAACGAATAAATTATAAAGATTAAAATAAAAGAAAATAAAAACATTTTAGAACTAAAAAATTTAGTCTAAAATTGGACCGAAACATTCGAACTTTTTAAACTTTTTAAATTATTAAAGTTACAATTTACCACGCAACAATAACAGCGATTTGTTTTTAATTGTCCGAGTCCTCATATTGTTTTTGTCGAAAAGAGCTTTGGTAAAGTATTTATATAAATAAATAACCATAAAATTATTGAGACAAAATTATGTTATCAAAAGATAAGTTACATATCTCTCAATGATATTTATTAGAAGGATGAGTAAATGATGTTCTTTGTGTTTCAGACGCAAAGATAACTCGCTGAAGAACGAATATGTGAAAAAGAAACATACAGACGATGATAGAAACAAATCTAAAGAAAATCAACCTGATCAGTCTCATGAACTGGATCATAATGATGGTACAATATCGTGTTATAGACAGGAATTTTCTAATCCTGCCTATGGTGTAAGTACAAACAGCTTTAGTATTCAGAAAATTCTAATTATAGCAGAATTGACTTATAGGGTCAAGTGCGTTAAAGTAGATGGTGACTATTTTGATTAGTAAAATAAGTTTTAAGTTTGTCGAAAAAGGTCTAAAGTTTGAATTAAAAACGGCCATTTCACGTGCACCAATCTAATATAACGCAATGAAAGGACTCGTTTTCAAAAAAATCAGTTCTTATATTAAACTCTGCGTTCTACACTGCTTCAAGAAAGAAGTACTCAACTATTTTGAAAGTGTGCCACCGGGATATGTGAAAAATTGTGCAAAAAAATATAGAAAAGCTTTTTCAGGATCCTTATAGACCAATGTTGCCGTTAGTAGCGCAAATGCCTGTGATGAGGTTTCGGGCACCGTTTCCTGCGCCAGGACCACTTATGGCGCAAAGACTATTTCCTGTAATAAGACAGTTCCCCGCGCCAAGATATTTTCCCATGCAACGTGTATTTCCCGATATGAATAGATGGCGAGCACCACCGGGTAAGTGCACATTTACATATAAAAAGTAAATGTAAAGAGAAATCATAAAGTATAATTAAATCTACAAGAACGTATGTTATAAAATCGCAATTTGACATACAAAACATTCAGTCTACAATTTCTGTTAAGTATGCTCGTGACAAGAAAACAAACATATACAGGGTGAACTCTAATATATTAACTAACACATTTAATATCTTTGAACTATTAATATCTAAAAACTGTTGTTAGAATTAGCGGTAATCCGCAATTGTCGATCGCGATGAGCACTGTACGTGCAACGCGCTGCCGCGAGCACTCGAATAGTCGGTTGCCGTGCGCTCTCTTTTTTTGCCAGAAACAACGATCACTCCTGCGAGCTTTGATGGTCACCACGAAGTGACTCACTACGCGACTAGTCCGTTTGTGGGCGACTTCGCGTGCGATAGGGAAGCATCTCAGTGCCTAAACTCGGACTGTCTTTGCCCGTAATATAGCTAACTAACGGTGATATTCGGTGTGCTTACTTCTCGTAGTTTAGTAACGAAAAGAAATATTTTGTATTCTCAGGGGGAACTTAAGTTTATACGCCTCATAAAGCTGAGTCGACAGAAATTTAGTCTTGCTACTTCTCGTAACTCAGTGCAATTTCGCATTGTTACTATGTGTGAGGGTCACTTAGTCTCTGGAGCGACTCTCTAGTTCTCTCCTTGTGTCTTTCGCACCCCCTTTTCGCTCGTATCTCGTCTAAGCTCACACTGAATGTCTGAACAGATTGTCCTCCATGCGATCTCGTTTTCGCTTGCACTCGCATGTACGCCAACCAGGACTTAGAAATACGAGCATCGCGCTCGCAGCACAACGCCGTTCGAAAGAGTCACAGCGGTGACCAAGAGTCATCAGGAGCTCAGCTCTTCTATATCTAAAGGGGACGTAGACACTCGGCCAACTCTTGCCACCTGACGATATTTCACAACGATTGTTCAAACGCTTGCATTCGAACTATGTTTATGTAAATAATGTAAATATTCTTACGCTGTGTAGATTATAAGTTCAATTAAGGGGCGTACGTGTGGTCTGAAACACTCGGTATAAGCACGGGTTTTCGATCTATCTAATCAAGACTGGATTCTCCCCGGTCGTTGACCGGCAGTCGCCGGTTCGTTTCCTCGAGACGGACTGTCATTCCGCACCGGTAGTTTACTACCGCAACTTGCGACAAGCAGTTCTCCGGTTTCCACCGAGCTAATTCACACTAGCTCGTTCCCTGGTCTCGGTGCCGAGGTAGTAATGAGTTCACTGCCTTCGTTATGTCTTCGCAATCTCCGAACAAGACCAATCCTTCCAGTCATACTGGGATGGTGCGTTCGCCGCCTCCGTCGAATATTCTCGGCCTCGTCCGTCGTCGGGGACAGTGGAGGACAAGCGAAATCAAGGGTCGGTGTTGTGTTTACCGCTCTCTCTGAGTAGTATCAGCCTCGTCATGCCGCAAAGTGGAAGAGCGATACACCGGCGTTAAATCGTCGAGCCGCAAATTAAAGATCCGCGAACGTAAACACCGCCGACGGCCGACGCGAGTCGAGCCGCGCCGTCAGAAAAACGCTGTCAACCGCGAGCCACTGCACATAGCTTCGACTGAAGCGAACAGGTACACCGGTACCCAAACATCACGTTACCGCGATTAGCGACTAAACAATACCGCGATTTACCGTCAACACCGCATTATAGTTTTGTAAAGTTTTGTATAGTTATACCGTAATCACGCCGATTGATTTCAAGCGCGCGTTTGTTCCTCAGTATATTTATTTCGTTTTTTTTATCATGTGGCACGAATAAATGTAATTTATTTTTACAACATTGAACCACGATTATATCTCTTTTCTTCCGAATCCAGCGAGCTCATCCGGGACACCACTGCCAGTGCAATGTTAAACATTTCATTTCGCACTCGACGCCTGACCGCGGACAACTCGTAAAATAATATTTATGTTTATACATATATATATATATATATATAATACGGAACTGATTAACAGAAATAAAGACAACTATTCGTTTTAAGCCGAGATAGAATGCTGAATCAACTGCGCGCACGCTTCGTTTTCCACCTATGCGCTTCACTTTATGGCCTGTAATTCTTACAAATATTCGAGTTTACACTTAAAATTTCAGGAGTATATTTGTGATACTTCGAAATTTTGAAATATGTAAAAAAATCCGACTTTTCCAATCAGACGGAATATCTCGTAAAATAAAACTTCTTGTATATACTTGACTATAAATGTCAATTCTATTTCAGGATTCATTTATTATAACATTATTAGTTATAACAGAGGAATAAATTACTACAACAGCAGACTCATCGACGGCTACAGAAAGGGTGTCATTAACAACAACAACAACAACAACAACAACAACAACAACAACAACAACAACAACAACAACAACAACAACAACGTAAATCGCAGGAACAGCCAAAATAGCAATAATAGCAGCCAAAACAGCAATAACAGCAGCCAAAACAGCAATAACAGCAGCAGCAGCAAAAACAGCAATAACAGCAGCAAAAACAGCAATAACAGCAGCAGCAGCAAAAACAGCAATAACAGCAGCAGCAAAAAGAGTATTGACAACAGCAGCAGCAGCAAAAACGTTGACAGCAGTAAAAATAGTACCAGTGATAACATAAATAGCAACAACAGCAGTACAAACAATAACAGCAGTAATAATAAAAATAATAAAGTAAGCAGTGACAAGGACATCAACAAAAATAATGACGATAGCACCAGCACCACTATCACCGACAAGCAGCAATAGCGAAAGCCATATTAACTACATCATTTAAATCATCAATATTTGTTCTGCTTCAATTTTTATTTTACATAATACTTTGATTGATGGTGGAAAACAGCACATAGTGTGTGATTGAATACATTTCTATATTAACACATTAAGGGTGGGAGTCGTAGTACTACGATTTATCTCGACTGCGGCTTAAAGGCGGGAGTCGTAGTAATACGATTTAGCTCGACTGTACCTTAAAGTTTTTATGATCACACAAAATATCGCCCGCTCTACTTTCGTCGAGATCGCCCACCGTTAATGTGTTAATATAGAGAAAAAATTCAATTATTCATAAAAAAAAACGCCGATATTATAGATTATCAGAAATCTTGATTTTTTATATGTGTATAGCCTTCTCAGTTAAGTCGATAGAAATATTAGTAAAAAGAAAAACATTTAAGGATAACAAAGTTATACGTTGTTCAATTTGTGAGACATTAAGTTTAGAAATAACTAGGAAGAATACATATAATAGAAATATTTAGAAACTATTAGTAACATGACTAAAAGTTTTCAAAATACTGCGTGATTAAAAATTTTATGTAGGAAATTAATAATGTCATAAACTATTTATAAAAGATACAATAACTCTCAACAAACAGATATAGATTTATAAAAGATATTATAACTCTCGACGAACAGTTTGGTGTATGGATTTTCAGCAATCCGTAAGCTTTCGAAACATTTATGTCATTATATGACATTCCTACATTGCTTCATTTAAATGATTCGAAATAATTTATGTAGCCAGAAATTTAATATCATGTCTGAAAAATTGTTTAAATAGGTGAAAATCTCATAATTACCACAATTATATAAAAGAACTTATAATATTTTGAGTAACGTACATTATGATAATGTTCACTTTTTCTTTATGTTACTTGCAACCAACGTTGCTTTGTATTATATAAATATTAGAATGTATAAGATACGTAAGTTCTATTTTAAATACGATCTCTATCGCAGCCGATGGATTTTAAATGTTTATTTTGTTTTATTATCTTCCTTTAAATCAAAATTTACAAAATTCAATAGGTGATTTAGGTATTTTCTGCTTTTTTTATTATTATTTTAATGCAAACTTCAGATCTCTTGTATTTATTGTCATTTGGGACTTATTGAACCAACCAAAATTTTAGGCCATATATTTCGGATAGAAATGGACATATGTGGCTTATCAAATAAAATACATTTGATGTGTTCATTGTTTTCGTCCATTTAAATTTGTAGTTCTACTCCGCTCAGAAA